TGTCGAAATGGCAGGTCTCAGCGCGACGTCGTAAAACGGCCGGATAAATGCAAACGTCTGTTGCACGTATATGCTTATTAGCAGAGGCATATACATGTAAATTTCTTCGAGAATGATCAGGAGTTCCTTTCGCAGCGAGAAACAAAAAAATAAGATAAAATAAAAATAAGAGACACAAAGTTGCGTACATTGGCGCAGCCGCAGGGTGACGAAAATCAAATTGAATATCATCGTTGCAGCTTAATCTATCAAAGTGATTCACGCGCGACAGCACGAGCGACTTAATTTTCGCCCGAGGTTGCTCGCGCATTGTAATACCCCAAAATGGACGCGGCGAGCTAATTAAGTCGGACGTAAAGAAAGATAACGTTTCATAATGAAGGTGGATTTTTTGCCTATTTTTCGAGCGCCGTCGTCTCCCCTCTCGCCGTCCCGACGCCGCGCCGGGGAAGATTTTACGCTCGACAAGCTCTCGGGGGGAAAAAAAGGTCGTCCGAGTGTACCAGAGAGAGCAGTGGGTTTAAAACGTTGCAAGTGCCGTACCGGATATGAGGGACGCGGAGAGGAACGGAGAGGAGGGAGGAAGGCGCGCGCGGACCGGAAATGGCCGCCCTTAACCCGGCGCGATCAAAAACTGGTTTCGCCAGACACACGAAAGCGCCGCCGAGAGATGAGGGAAGCGAAGAAAAAAAAGTGAGAAACGGAGAGAGGAAGAGAGAGGGGGGGGAGAGAGAGAGAGAGAGAGAGCACACTTCCACCACCGCGCCGCCTTCCTTCCTACTGCTCTCTCGTCGGTAAATAACGGATAATTTCGCTCTCGAATAAATCGAGAGAGGCAAAAGTTTCGGCGTTAAAAAACGTTTAAGCCGTTGCAATATTTTAAGGGAACCGCGGAGAAACTTTAATGCAGTTAATCCGGAGTGACTTCCGCGAAATACGGCCTTAGGAATTCACGTTGCGACGCACCGTGCGGTTTTCTTCCCCGCACAAACGATAGGGTGGTTTCCATGGTTAAAGCAATTACAAGAAATAAGTTGCAAATATTAGTTTATCGGATATAATGTTTTAGTAAAAAAAAAGGAAAAAAAAGGAAAAAAATTTACAGTAAAGAAAAGATGTACAAATATGAAAACTTCATTTCGAATGAAAATATGTACAAGTATGAAAAGTAACAGAGAAAGAGAGAGAGAGAGTTTGTTATATATTTTTTTAATTCAACATGAAAAAAATACTGAAATATTTAAAAATTCGATCAGATACAAGTCTAAAAATAATTTTGTCAGGTCATTAAAACATTTAGATGGAACTGATGATTAAAATTGATACTAAAATATAAAAAATTTTTACACTATTATCAAAATGCTTAAGCGTTTTATAATAATTAATAAAGTAATAATTTTAATGAACCAACCAGATTATTTTCAGATTTATATATGGTCATATTTTTCAGACATTCTAGCAATTCGTTCTTTCGTGAAGTTATATTACTAATTTGATATAATTACGTAATAACGTTTTTCAATTAGGACAACATTTAAAACGACTCAAGACTTCGAATTTGCAACGCAACCCTATAATTCCGATTCCATCGATTAGTCATTATTAGACGTTTTATTTTCTTAGAGGCGGCAATTAAGGCGAATTGATGACGAAGATACTGAAATAATGGACCGACAGCTGTCGATCTAACACAGCGTAAATGCGTGACCTACTCGATCTCATTTGTCTCGTAACGCTTTGCGTCATTAAATACGTCTTTTGCTCGGCATATCGCGAGAGGCATAATTACAATACTTTTGTACCGTTAGCATTAATAAGTTCGTCCGATCGTGCCGGTCCCAAAGGCCGGCAAGATGAAAAAGAGGTCGCCCAGTCAAGAATAAGTAATTACAGATCGCGTCGTTAGACCTAATGCCGATATTCTAAAAATGGACTGCTAAATTAGATTCCTTTGTACCGCAATAATGTTACAAGCTTCTGACACTTAATTGACGCATAATCGCACCTCATAATTGAGTTAGAAAACGATGAAGCAGCATCGAGCATAGTGTATCGCGACACAAAATGAGATTAACAATTCAATTAAATTTCCATTAATTGTCACCGACGCGATAAATTCATGTCGTTGCGATCGGTATATATATCTTCAAAATCGGTTCACAAGAAAAAAATTCTATTTTTAACAGGCCATACTGAAGAGCATTAAATAAACTGAATTCGATATTCCATAGAATAATCCTACTTAAATGGAGAAAATCCAAGGGACGGATGGGCAGATTAAATTTACAGTCGCAGGTCGAAAAGGAGAACCGCTGCGAACAGTCCATAAGCCAGAGAGGATCTAGCGGCTGTGTGTAGACTGTACTGAAATAATGTACAGTGCCGTACAAAACGCGGCAAGTTGGCGAGAGGGGAACGCAGGGAAACGGGGAGGGGGAGGAGCGACTCCGTCTCCCTTCCTCCGCGCGTCGCCTCTCCGCCGCCCGTGTCCCTCGCCCTCGCCGTCAGGGTAACAATGGTGTGCAAAGGAGATTAACAAACAGAATAAGCTAACGCATAATCGCATTATTTCTAGCTAAGCCGCATTTAAATTAGATAGAAATTCCATTTAACGAAACAATGCGGGGATGATGAGTCACTTCGCCGTATACGCGTTGACTCGCACAACGTCGGAGTAGACATTGTCCTCCCTCTCCCGCTCGACTGCAGTCTCGACATTCCCGGCGTGATTCCTCCTCCCCCCCCCGGCCATGCCTCCCCCTTCTCGGGGAGGGCCGCGCGCGAATTTCTGATTTCGCGAAATTCTTACAAGCCTGTGTTATCGCGTCCGCGAGTTCCGTGCGCGCGCGCGAGTGCGAGTCTCTCGTCGGAATTTCCAGCGCGTATATTTTGGCAACGGTATATCCTGCTCTCATAGAGAGAGAAAGAGAGAGAGAGAGAGAGAGAGAGGGCATGCGAAAGAGATGAAAGATCACCGTCCAGGCGTCCTCGTCGGGTCTTCCTTTATTCCCGACTAACGCTCTCGCAGATCCGACATGATCGGAGAGGCTAGGGTCGTCATTATTCTTATTTTTTAAACAATAAGAGACCCACTTAAGGGACTTCGCCGGCGACGGTACGTCCAACCGATGTGGACAGGCGCGGAAAAACGGATGGGTTCACGCCGTGAAACTAGAGCGGGCAATATTAGTCGATAGCGCGAGAGAAAAAGGGTACGCTATCTCGACAGGATGTAGGATTTATCCTATCTCTCCGCAGCGCACGGGACGATACCGTCTCCGTTTCAGTTTTGTTTCGGAGAGGTCGGTATTCGCGCGTCTTTTGACCTATCGGTTTTGGAAAAGGTAATCCGAAACAATAATGCAACTCGGTCGACTCGCCTCGACCGCCCTCTGACATTCGAGGACTCGATATTAGGTCTCAAGCCGTCGTTTATTCAAATCAGCTCGAAAGTTAGCGCGTACGTAATCAATTTCAATCGACGTGTGTGGATCGCGAGGTCCTGCGACATTCTCGCGTAAAAGGTCGCCATCGCCGGCGACCAATTTCGCGGGAAGTTTGTCGCGCGCGCCGGCTCGTAAAAATTTCCAGAGGACCCTGTACAGTCGAGGAAGGGCGCAAAAAGAGCGAGCCGAGCGGCGAGCGGACGAGCCCGCCCACGTGAGGGCGGCCATATCCGTGACGTAATCCTGACGTCACTACCCCGCACGCTCCGCCGAATGCACGGAGAAAATCGTAAAACGTGTACGGTCCCTCCAATCCGTCCCGCCGCCATCCAATCCTATTCACGACTGACGCGCAATCCGCTTTGGAGGGAAAACGTCTTTTCCCTCTGACGTCGGCCGGAAACTCGGGGGGATTTAGATTTTCCGCGAAGAATTCCGCTTGTGCCTCTTCCTCACGGGAGGATACGATTTTTCGTGCGCTCTCTTCCTCCCGTTGTATCGCGCAGACATCGGGAGATATCGTACAGATTAAATTACATCGGATGCGAACGCAATCATATTTCGACAAGTCAGAAGTACCGAGTTTGTATTGCTACTCGGACTCGAGCACGAAATAATTATATCGAAATAAAGATGAGGTGACATTTTGCTGGCAGGAATCTATTAAGGATGTGTTATATCTATTTTTATAATTTTATATTTACGAAAAAAAATTATAAAAATTTACTAATTATTCTAAATCACATTTAAAAATAATACAATATAATTTAATGACGACTTAGAACCTAAATAAAAAATTATTTAAATAAATAAATAGAAATGGTCTAATAGTGGTTTAATGAAAATGTAAAAAATAATGACAAAAATCTGAATTTTGTTATATAAGCATTCAAAATAATTTATCTAAAATTTCATTACGATGCACAGAGTTGGTTAGTTGTTCTATAAATAAAAATTTTTACTTGTAATCACTTCGTTTGTACTTTTAATAAAAATTAAATTTTAATATAACATAAAAATTTATATTTAAATCACTTTTGATCCAGATTTTAAAAATCGAACGCGCAAAAAATTTTTTGTATTACTTTTGAATGGAATTTAGAATAACTATAATTTTTCATAAATTTTTCATCGTAAATAAAAATAGATATAATATATCCTTAAGGAGAAAAACAATTATTGATTATCCGGAGTTAAACAACCGTTGATTTTCCAGATTATTAATGGCAATCGATAATCGCGTCTTCTTGCCTCGTCTTCTTGCTTCGAAATCGGGGCGCGATTCGTTCAATGAGATCAGTAGACAGAAATAATTTTCATGTAAATAAATAGCCTGTGTACTAAATATCCTTATTCTAACCATTCTTTTTGAAATATTCATGTTTCTTGTAGGGGTTTCTCTTTTCGTACCAAAAATATATTATTTGTGCAGGAGCCATTTAATTCCCACCCGCAGGTAAATTCCAAAAATAATTTTAGGAAGAATCCCCCCCTTCCTCCCCTCATCCTCCAAGTAATCGGATCGGTGAATGAGGGAATCCCACGATCTTTTACCTGAGGACCACCGCCCACGATCGACTGGTAGGCCGATTGAAAGACGCTGCCCAACTGCGTGAGACCCTCGTCCTCTATCTGGAACATTATGTCCGCCCCCGGCGAGCCGTTGTTGTTGAGATTATTGTTGTTGCCCATCAGCTTCTCCGTGCTGCCGACGTCCGAGCGGAGCATCGTGTTGGACTGCATACTCACGCGAGCGAGATAATCGGCACGACCGGGAACGCGACACGTGCGTGCGTGGCTCGCGCGGATCCGCGAAAGCGAGCGAGGTTCGTGCGCGCGCGCGCGCGCGCGCGGCGCGATAGATCGCGCGTCACGGAGAACGCGCTCCGATGTCAAACCCTAACGACGTCGGCGTTTTGCGGCGAATGGTCCCGCGCCGTTGTCATCGTCGCTAAGGGAATCGCGGGGAGGTCGCGTCGCGTCGCGTCGCGTCGTCACGTGATGGGGATCCGTTTCGCGGGGTTCGCGGGGGCTCGGAAACGATCGTAAGCGGTACGGAGTCGCGTCCCTGTCAGGTCGAACATACCACGCACTTGTTACGATTCCGCGAGGATGCGCGCGGGAAGAAAGGAGCTGAGCGCGAAACGGAGTGATGTGCACGCGGGAGAGAAAAGAGCGAGGAAACGCGGAGGGAGGAGAAGACGCGCGACACGCGCCGGAAGCCTCCCGAGTATCTTATCGCCGGCTGTCGATATCGTTGTCCGATCTTCGTCCCCTTGGAGAATTCACGCGCGGAGTCATCAGCGCGCCGTGTCGCGCGCTCGTCGCACAGGAGGGGGGCACGGGAACGTCGCGGAAGCGTCGTGCACGCGCATCAGGATGCACCCGCGCGCGATAGTCGCTGTTGCTCCACCAGCTGCATAACGTCGGGGGTCGTCGTTTTTTTTTGAGGTTAGGACGCGACAACACGCGAGAGAACCCGTCCAGCGATGATGATGGTGATGGTGGTGGTGGTGACGGTATGGTGGTAGTAGTAGTGGTGGTGGTGGTGCTGCTGCTGGCTGCTGGCTGCTGGCTGCTGGCGGTGGCGGCGGCGACGGCGGCGCGTCCTATCGCGCGCACCGCATTTCCTTCGGCCCGCGGGCGAGTACACGTAGCGACGATCGCAAGTAAACGGGCGACGAGATCCACTGTGGGTATCCGCGGATTCACTGATCGCGATGCGGATCGCGTTGCGGAGGAAAAACGGCGGAATCGAGAGCGAGCGCGTGAAAAGACCCTCTCACTACGAGACACGCGACGAGACTGACGCGTCGCGGTCGCGAGGGGAGGCGATCGCTACGGCTCCCTCTTCCATCCTCCGCCGCGAAGGGTTCCCATCCCTTCCCCTTGATGCTCCGCGCGCGGACCCCCCACTCCGCGCGCCATCGCTGCCGTACGCTCGTTCGTTCGCCTCCCTCTTCCTCCCCTCGGCCGCTCGCCAACTCACTACGCTCGTTCGCTCACTCGTTCGTTCGTTCACTCCACGACGACGATTTCTTTCGCGCTCCCTTGAGCGCTCCATTCTCGCAGGAAGCAACCCCTAACGTGAAGGGCCACCGTTTTTGCCTGCGGAGAGGCAGACGTTCGTGTACACGGAGGACACGGACGCGAGCGCGAGTGTGGGTGGCTCTCCCTTTCTTTCTTCCTCTCTCGCTCCTTTTCTCTTGTGTCCGCGGACTATGCACTATGCCGAAAACATCGGCCCACTTGTTGAGTCGGAAAGAGAGCGAGCGAGGAGAGCAAGACGGAGCCCCGGAGAACGGGAGCGTGTGGGTGGATGGATGCGTGCGTGCGTGCGCGCGTGCGTGCGTGCGTGAGTGAGTGAGTGAGTATATATGTACGCGCGCGGAAAAGTGGCGTACGAGATAAAAAGCTTCGCGCGCCGCTAACGACGGACAGACAAAGAGGGTCGGCCACCGTGGATGAGGACGCGCCACTACGACGCGGTCGATCTCTGTGACGAGAGTCGGTCTGCGTCTCTTCTCTGTCTCCGATTGTCATACATCGCTCGGAATATACGGACACGCCGACCGCGAAATTTCCCACAACAATGCCTTTGATGTCTCGATACGAGAAAAAACCAATAATGTAGAATACATCTCCTGCAATTGATCAAATCACTGTTTAAATCTAGACAGAGACATTGATGCCAAAAGTGAGACGCGGTACAATCGTCAAATTAGTCGCAATATACATATTGTAACCACCAATTTCACGACTGTACCGCGTCTCATTCTGGCATCACTACAGAGAGATGCCAAAAAGTATGTTTTACATAAAACACGATTGAAAATTATGATTGATGCCGTACTTTTTTTTTTTTTTGTTAATCTACTCCGAGATACGCAAATTGACATATGCACCGGATTCGTGCACGCGTAAAGCGGAAGCTACGTCGACGGCAGAAATTTCACGGCGCGTCTCGTTGTAACGAGTCTCATTGCGAGTTTCTTCGAAACTGTCCGATCTCTCGCCGACGCCCAGTTAATTAAAAGCTCGGCGCGAGCCTCGTCGCTGTATAATGGATCGTCGGCGAATTTTAAGGTGGCGTGCTTAACTTTTGCGCGAAGTTAAATGGCGTTGTTTACCGCGCCCGGCGAAGTTTAATGATATCGCGGCCGAGAATATCTTCATTTCGCGCAGAGAGCCCGGCGGGGAACGAAGAGCGGGGAAGCCCCATAAACGACCGCGCGCGATTTCGGAAAATCTGTCAGGGAGGGGGACAAACGAGATATCTCGTGGCGCCAAAGGTGCCTCGTTAGTCGGATATTCGTGAGTAATTTTAGTGTCGTACCCACGCGACTGGCCGAAGGTTTATAATTACCTAACCTCACCCGACCCAATCTAACCCACTTGGCAAACGGGCGAGAGTTCCAGTTTTCCTCTCACCGAACGTCGGATACGACGGACGAGGCTCGTTTGAAACAGAAAAAAACAAAAAATGAGAAGAAAAGCCGATCGACCGGGAATTGTCGACGAGCCTCCAATTAATATCTGACCCGGGGCTTTTCTCGGGCTTTAACGACGCGATACGATCGTTTATGAGCGAACGATTATGACGATTGTAAGCCGGTGATTAAATTCCGATGGCAGAAATGGCATAATATAAGTATTTACGTTTATATACGCGGTTAAATAGTCCGCCGTTACAATGTAGCGACGATTGACATCAATTGCGGACGGCCGCTTTATTGAAGACACTTGATCTCATTTCGATTCGAAGATACGAGCGTGCGAGCGAGCGAACGAACAACATTAACTTTTATAACACAGGTTAATCGGCATTTTATTAGAGTAAAGGGAAAACGCGTGTATTCGTCTTAATTTTCTTCGTAAATCTCAGTTGTAAAAACGCGCAGCGTTTATTAAGTAAAGTAGATTCACTAAACGTGGCGAAATGTGAATATAACAAGGTATTTGAAAAGTGACAAAGTGCGAACACACTTGTCTGTCGCCGCGATGAGTCGACAGACAATCAACAGGAAACGGTCAAAATAAATGACCATCCTGTCGAAACTGTTTGGTGCAATAAAGAAGTTTTCGCTATTTTAAAGCTGATCATGACAGTAAAATGATGTAAAACGACAACCGGTAACGTCAACGTGTACACTTTGGGCTTTGTACCTGCCTTTCAAAATATTTTTAGGAGCTACGAGAAAACTCCATCTCTCCTAACGATAATGACCCAACTAGGACTTAGCAACTATTAATTTCGAAACCCTCGTCAAAATTATATCACAAACTGATCGTTAAGGCGCTTGATCGTTTTTAAACGTTGAACCAATTGTTTCACCTCGCGCAATTTTCGATGGCTTTTTCTCTCTCAAAAATTCACAGAATATAATATATTGTCGTGTGACAATGGCGCTTTAACCGAATATAAACAAAA